ACATAACAACCGTGTGACTAGCTTAATCAACTGCGGTGATTCATTTTACAACGGTAGCAAGAAAGGTCATAAAATGGGGTAAAACTCACTTAACCACTGTCTTAATTCACTTAGCAACAGAGCAGGCAACAGAATTTCATTTTAATGTGTGCCAGTGTGCCCATAGTAAAAAATGGCAATAAAGGTTTATCTATCTGTCTATCTATCTGACTGTCTGTCTGTTTATCTATCTCTATCTATATCCATCCATCCATCTTCTTTCTATCTATCATCTATCTATCTATTTTATCATCTATCTGTCTATCCATCCATCCATCCATCTATTTATCCATCCATCATCTATCTATCTATCCCGCCTCCCCTCCCCTCCCCTCTCCTCTTCCCTCCCCTCCCTTCCCCTCCTCTTCCCTTTTCTCCTTTCCTCTCCTCTCCCCTCCTCTCCCCCCCTTAGCAAAGATTCTTAATCGAATCCTGAAATTCTATAGATATTGAAGAAATACAGTTAATCTTCAATTTAAAACCATTTGTTTAGCGCTTATTCAAAGTTACAACTGAACTTTGCATTGGAAAAAGTGACTTAACAACCAGTCCTCAGACTTACGACCATTGCGACATTCCCACTCGCCTTATCAAAATTCGAGTGCTTGGCAACCAGCAGGTAGTGGCTGCATCCTGTTGTCATGTGATTTGCCATTTGTGACCTTCCCAGATGCTTTGCAACAAAGTAAATGGGGAGGCCAGATTCACTTAATGACTGCATGATTCTCTTAACAACCGTAGAGATTTGCTTAACAGCCATGGCAAAAAAAAAACATAGAATCAGACACAACTCGCTGAAGAACCTTGCATAGCAATGGAAATAGAACATAGAATAACAGAGTTGGAAGGACCTTAGAGGATTTCTAGTCTAGTCTGCTCAAGCAGGAAACCCTATACCAGTGATGGCTAACCTTTTTGCCATCGCGTGCCAGGAACGGGGTGGGAGGTTCGCACATGCGTGTGCCCACATCCATAATTCTATACGCCCCGCCCTGTGCATGCATGTGTGATCCCCCTCTCCACCCGTTCCTGGCCCGGTAGGCCCATTTTTCTTTCTCACCTGGCTCCAGATCCTCTCTATGCATCTGGGGAGGGCGAAAACAGCCTTCCCCACCCTCTCGGAGGCCCTCCAGAGGCAGGAAACATTCTGTTTCCCTACTTCTGATGGGCCCAGAAGGCCCAAAAATCAGCTGGCCGGAGCTGAGTTCAGTGGTGGGTTCCTCCCGGTTCGGCCCAGTTCGCGAGAGCCGGTAGCAGTGACGATATGATGTCACCGAACCGGTTCTCTGTCTTCGGGAGCTGGGCCCTCCCGCCCGCCCCTGCGTTTTTCTGACGTTATATGTCTGCTTTTTTCGCCCAACTGAGAGGTGCGGCAGAGCGGATTGTCACACCTCAGCTGGGCAGATTCACAACGCGCTTGCACAAAGCGCAAGTTTGGTATGCCTGCGAGCGAACCGAGCATGTGCGCGGCGATCACGCACTTGAAGAGGCGATCACGCGCGAAGCGCGCACACAAAGAGACCCAGTAGTATAGCCGGTTAGAACCCACCCCTGGCTGAGCTCCATGTGCCACCTGTGGCACGCGTGCCGTAGATTCACCATACCAGGTCGTGGTTGTCCCAAAGGTGCTTTTTCTGGAGGCAACTTCCTTGTTTTCTCTTTTTAAGACATTTCGCTTCTCTTGTTTTCTCTTTTTAAGACATTTCGCTTCTCATCCAAGAAGCTGTCTGCAAGGAATATAAATCCTTCCATTGTCCGCCATCCAGCCAGAGCTGAAGAAGCTTCTTGGATGAGAAGCGAAACGTCTTCGAAGAAAAAAGAAGAAAGTCCAGTTGCCTTCTGAAAAAGCACTTTTAGTTCTAGGTTGGTTCCCTCCTTGGTCATAAATTGAGGACTACCTGAATTTGCTTTGTCTGGAATGCCAGAAGAGAAAGACAGACCATTCCCATTAGAAACGATATACCAAGCATTGATTTCTACTTCATCCCCATTCCACCCTCTGCGGAGAAAATAAATCATTTATTTTCTGTTCTCAAGAAAAATCCACCTCCTCCTTGCCTGAATCTGGTTGAATCATCATAAAAATTAGATTGTAGGTAGTCTGCCTTCAACATGAATATATTCAACACTGAGGAAATGGATTCATGGCTTTTTTATTTTGCTGGCAAAATAATGTGAGGGGGCTGGATGCTTAAAAATTAATTCCTTAGATCGGAAGAAAAGTCCTGTCACTTAGAAATGGGTTAAACAATGGCAACAATTCATATGATTCAATTTTTTAAAATGTCGTGATTATCATAATTTTATGCTTGTGTGTGTGTGTGTTTGTGTATTTTGCATGTCTCTGTTTCTGTATTGAAACAAGTTTTGATCTCCCCAAATTATATCTTTTCAGCGCTGGTTTCTAATTCCAGACGATTCAGGAAATGTGAACCTTTTGTAATAAATCTAATATTAAAGTAAGCAGTTTTGCTGCATTTGCTCATGGTTTTCCATGGCTGGAGAAAATGAAAATGGGTAGAAAGCTGGATTCTATAGAAAGCTGACTGCAGAATGGTATAGTACACAGAAGAAAAGTCAAAAAAAGGCAAAAATGGCATCATAGCAACAAACAAAATCTAAGCAAGAGAGCTGCTGCTGGGTCATTCTCCTTTAAAAGAAAGTGTAATCCTCATTTAGTGACCATACAACAACATCATTGAAAAAAATCCACACATGGTTGGAAAAAATGACAAAGAAACACATTGACTTTAAACCAGAGATATTTTTATTAGGGATTTTACCAGAAACATATAATAGAGAATTGAGATACTTAATTGTGAATGTTTTAACAGCGGCTAGAATTGTATTTGCTAAAAACCTGGAAAAATGAGAAAATACGTACTGAAGATGACATTATTAAGAAAGTTATGGAATGTGCTGAAATGAGTAAATTGACATTTGAAATTAGAGAACAGGAAGATAAACAATTTTACATGATATGGGATTTATTTTATCAATGGCTAGATAATAAAGCATGGAAATGAAATATGAAATATGAAATAAATGTAAAAATAAAATATATGAAGCGGGTTTTTTAGGGGATAAATGCCATTGTTGAATAAAAGTTAAAGGAGAATAATAATACAATGAGATATAATAAATGTGATAAATAATTTGTAAAATTTTGGATACGGGATTAAGCACAAAAGAATTGTAACCGATTGATACACTTTCTGTGATTGTAATGGATGATGGTTGTTTTTATGTTTTGTTTGTTTAAAAAAAAAATCCAAAAAGAAAAAACATCATTAAAAAGTCATTTATGACCGCTTTTCACATTTACAACCACTGCAGCATCTCTTTGGTCATGTGATCAAAATTCAATTACTTGGCAAGTGACTCATATTTATGACTGTTGCAGTGTCCCGGGGTCACGTGATCCCCTTTTGCTACCTTCTGACAAGCAAAGCCAATGAGGAAGCCAGATTCATTTAACAACCATGTGACTCACTTAACAACTGCAATGATTCGCTTAATAACTATGGCAAGAAAGGTCATTAAAATGGGGCAAAACTCACTTAACAGCTTAATAACATAAATTTTGGGCTCAGTCGTGGTTGTAAGTCAAGGACAACCTTTATACATATGGATGGTTCATCCAAAATTCTGAATTTCACCGATCTATATTATATTCCAAATCTCTTGCTTCTTGTAATTCATGGCAAGGGAGATTGTATTTGGGTGTGATTGCCTTTGATTAGAACAAACAGGGTGACATCAATAGAAACACAACAAAATAAACGAATGGATGAATAATCTTGTGATTTTGGGATCTCATTATGCTGGAAATAGAATAACAGAGTTGGAAGGGACCTTGGAGGTCTTCTAGTCCAACCCCCAGCTTAGGCAGGAAACTCTACACCACTTCAGACAAATGGTTATCCAATATATTCTTTAAAGCTTCCAGTGTTGGAGCATTCACAACTTCTGGAGGCAAGTTGTTCCACTGATAAATTGTTCTAGCTGTCAGGAAATTTCTCCTTAGTTCTAAATTGCTTCTCTCCTTGATTAGTTTCCCCCCGTTGCTTCTTGTCCTGCCCGCAAGTGCTTTGGAGAATAGCTTGACTCCCTCTTCTTTGGGGCAGCCCCTGAGATATTGGAAGATTGCTATCAAGTCACCCCTATCCCTCTGTTGTAATACAGGTAGTTCTTGACTTACAAACAGCTCTTTAATCACCATTCAAAATTACAGCAGAACTGAAAAAAGTGACTTATAAATGTTCCTCGAACTTACAAGCCATTGAAGTTACAATGGCACTGAAAAAAGTGACTTACAACCAGTCCTCGCTCTTACAACCACTCATTTACCAACTGTTTGAAGTTACAATGGCACCGAAAAAATGACTTAACAACCGTACTTATGACTGTCATAATATCCCCACCATCACATGATCAAAATTTTGGGCACCTGGCAACTGGCCTGTATTTTTGACAATTTCAGCATCCTTGGGCCACGCGAATGATTATTTGCAAGCTTCCCAGCCAGCTTCTGACAATGGGAAGCTGCATTCACTTAACAACGGTGTGATCCACTTAACAACCGTGGTTAAAAAAGGTAATAAAATAATTCATGGTTCACTTAGCATCCTTCTCGCAACGGAAATTCAGATCCCAATTTTTACAAATATGACACCATGGTGCATTTTCTCTGTGTTTCGGATTGCTGAAATATTGGCTCCAAGGACTTTTGCTTCTGTTCAGATCCCTTTGTCCCAGTGCATATGTGATCAATGTCGGGTTGGCAGAAAATTACAATTTTTGTCATATTTGCAGCTGCTTAGCAGAGCTTCCCAGTGAAAACAGGGCTGGTTTCTATATTTCAGGCTTTTAGCCTTTTCTTTTTAAGACAGAGTTGTGTTAATGCTTTTGTTTGGAAGTTTAGCTCAATATTTCTATTGGTGTCTCTTTCCTCCCCTTAGGAAATGCATATCGAGAATGCATGGAAAATGGGACATGGGCTTTCAAAGTTAATTACACGCAGTGTGAACCGATTCTCGACGAAGAGGTACGTTGATCTGTGATTGGTTTTTCTGGGTGGAGGGATCAGGTCAAGGATGTGTGTAGGTGGGTTCAAAAACGTCAAGGCGGATCGAAGCCTCGCTCCTTTTTGATCGTGTGATTGCACCCATCCATCTTCATTTTTTTCCTACAATTTCTAAGCAGGCGCATCTAGAAAGAGAGTCAAAATCTGCAAAGTGTTAGTTGCAGAGTCAATGTTCAAAATCTTTTGCATGCATCACACAGGTAAACAAGTGAGCATGTGGCTGCACCGAGCATCTCGCACATGTTACCCGCACCACGTAGGAAGGAAGGATGAAAAGTAAACTGAACAATTACACAAAGTACTCATTTTACGCATTGCTCCCCATCCCCCTTTCTGAAGGCCAAAAGTAAATATAAACTTCCTCCTTGGGGATTCAGTCTAACTTAGAGTACAAATCCTACAGGCTTTAGAGCAGAGGTCTCCAACCTTAGCAACTTTAAGACTTGTGGACTTCAACTCCCAGAATTCCTCAGCCAGCAAAGCTTTAGAGAATACTTTGAAGTTCGTTGGGATCTGACCTTTTCTAAAAATAACCACCGTTCTTACTTTGAACAGCCTGCTGGATCATTAATTGATTTAATTAAATTAACATTTAACTGATTGCTGCATCTTTAATTAGTCACCACATAAAAAAAAAAAAAAGTTGAGACTTTGGAAAAAATGCCGAGAAGAGCAACTAAGACGATTAAAGGCCTGGAGACATAAACATAGAGAGAATGGTTGCAGGAATTATGTTTGGCAAAGCTGGAGAAGAGGAGGACTAGGAGTGACATGATAGCAGTGTTCCAGTATTTGAGGAGCTGCCACAAAGAAGAGGGAGTCAACCTATTCTCCAAAGCATCTGAAGTCAAGACAAGAAACAATGGATGGAAATTAATCAAGGAGAGAAGCAACCTGGAATGAAGGAGAAACTTCCTAACGGAGAGAAGAATTAATCAGCAGAACAGCTTGCTTTCAGTGCTCCATCCCTGGAGATTTTTAAGAAGAGACAGCCACCTGTCTGAAATGGAGTAGGGTCTCCTGCTTGAGCAAGGGGTTAGACTAAAAGACCCCCAAAGTCCCTTCCAGCTCAATTCTGATTGACTGATATAATATTGTGGGATGGGATGGGATAGGATAACAGAGTTGGAAGGAACTGGTTCATACTTACAACATTTGCAGTGTCCTGGGCAGTGATGAAATCCAATTTTTTTTTTTACTACCGGTTCTGTGGGCGTGGCTTGGTGGGCATGGCAGGGGAAGGATGCTGCAAAATCTCCATACCCACCCCACTCTGAGGCCAACCAGAGATGGTATTTGCCGGTTCTCTGAGCTACTCAAAATTTCCGCTACCGGTTCTGCAGAACCTGTTGGATTTCACCCCTGGTCCTGGGTGTGATCCCCTTTTGCGACCTTCAGAAAAACAAAGTCAATGGGGAAGGCTGATTCATTTAACAACCATGTTACTAACTTAAAAACTGCATTGACTGCCGATCGATTTAATTTATTTTAGTTATTTTTAACTTTTATATTATATGTATCTTAATTCCAGCTGTCCACCGCCCTGAGTCCTTCGGAAGAAGGGCGGTATATAAATTAATTAATTAATTAATTAATTAAATTAATAAATATATTAATTAATTAATTAATTAATTGATTCTATTGTATGAATGCAACTAACACAGAGAGAGATATACAGAAACTTAAAGATCTTCCCAATCAAAGTTTCTCATAATAGTCAGTATCAGCCTCTGTGAGTTGATCAGTCTATCTAAGACAGGGGTCTGCAATCTTAAACACTCAAAGAGCCATTTGGACCCATTTCCCACAGAAAAGAAAACACCGGGAGCCACAAAACCCTTCCCGTGCCTGACTATTTCCTGAGCGGCCACAAAACTAGCATATGTAGTTGAATTAAACGTTCTGTTTTCTTCTAAAACTTTTCTTTTCTTGGATTTATCCATGGTTGGCCTACCGGGGGTTGAAAAGCTCAATAAATCGCGTGCCAGCGGGTGTCGCACACTGACAGTGGTAACGCATATTTTGAGTGACGGAGCCACAGCAGAGGGCTGAAAGAGCCACATGCGGCTCTAGAGCTGCAGGTTGCCGACCCCTGATCTAAGAGATCAATAAATGACTGTGGGGTCAACAGGAACAAACTGAACCTGAAAGAGTGGAGCTAAAATTCACCAATCTCCAAAAAAACTACAAATGGTCCTCGACTTACAACTATTACGTTTAATGCCCTTTTGAAGTTTCCATGGCACCGAAAAAGTGACTTATGGATGTTTTTCACCCTTACGACCCTTGCACTACCCCCAGGGTTCACATGATAAAAATTCAGACACTTGGCAACTGACTCGCATTTATGACTGTAGCTGTGTTCTGTGTGTGTGTGTGTGTGTGTGTGTGTGTGTGTGTGTGTGTGTGTGATATGAATCACTGCAGTTGTTGATTTAGTAACAAGGTTGTAAAGTGAATCTGTCTTCCCCATGGACTTTGTTTGTCAAAAGGTCACAAGTCACATGACCTTGGGACACAGCGACGGTCATAAATATGAACCATTTGCCAAACATCTGAACATGGATCATGTGACTGTGGGAATGCTAAGTGTGAAAACAGTCATAAGTCATTTTTTTTTCCAAAAACGCCGTTGTAACTTTTGAACAGTTACTAATTGGGAACTACCTGCACTTATAATAAAGGCAGGATAAAAATGTCTAATAGTACCGTATTTTTCGGAGTATAAGATGCACCTTTTTTCCCCCTAAAAGGGGGTGAAAATTTAGGTGCGTCTTATACACCGAATGTAGCCCCGCCCACCCACTGGCCCCCACCCTTTGGCCTCTGCCTCGCAGCAGTTACCTCCTTGCAAGCAAACAGCAAGAAAAAACATCTCCTTTCAGCTTCAGCACAGCCTAAATAGCACAAGTTGATTGGATCGGCCTCCCGACTCTCAGCTGATTTGCTCTCAGCTGTTTTGCACAGAGCCTCTGCTGCTTGCTCCAAAGAAGAAAATTGCTGGAGCAGATTTTTTTTTTTCCTTGTGCTAATCAAGCTATGCTGAAAATGAAACTGAAAGTAAAGCAGGCTATTTGCTGCAAGGAGGCAAAATTGTTCAGAGGCAGAGGGAGATTTCTTTTTCTTCTTTTCCTCACCAAAAAAGATAGGTGCGTCTTATACTCCGAAAAATATGGTAAGTAAATAATTCAGTTGACGTTATTGGGTGAGCCAAAGCTGTATGCAGCAAGACACTGTGTTGAACAGGAAACTTGATTTCACTGAGCACCGCATCAGGATTGTGTTTGACCTCAGGAGACTGGGGTGGGTATGGCCAGGGTGGGGACGGCCAGCTCACTGTCACTCATGTTGGGGGGCACCTGTGGTGGCCCAAGTGCTCTGCCAGCAAAAACAGGCTCCTGAACTCAGTTTTCAGTGGCCATAGCTTCCTGCAACCCTCTTCCAGCAAAAATGGATTTGGAAGTGCCACTTGCAGCCCTCATGAGCTCCATTTTTGCTGGCACAGACACTGCAGGCCAGTCCTTTGCTGTTTTCAGGGCAACCCTGCAGGCCGGATCTAAGGACCCCGCGTGCCAGATGCAGCCCCCACGCCTTGAGTTTGACACCCCTGGTATTGAAGATCTGTCTAATAAATCAACGACCTGAATAGCATAGCATAGCATAGCATAGCATGGAATGAGCTGCTCCTAGAGCTCCGTCTTAGAGCTCCGTCTTAACCCCGACATGCGTACTTTTCGCCGCGCCCTTAAGACCCTCCTGTTCCAGCAAGCCGGACTGGCCTAATATGAATTTTATTATGGGTGTATGTGTGTTTTAAATCTGTGGGCCAATTTTATATATTGATTTTAATTTGGTTTTAAATTTTATAAATCTATGTGTTTTAATATGGCTGTACACCGCCCTGAGTCCTTCGGGAGAAGGGCGGTATAGAAATCTAATAAACTTAAACTTAAACTTAAACTTAAACTTAAACTTAAACTTAAACTTATAGAATAGCACAGCATAGCATAGCATAGCATAGCATAGCATAGCATAGCATAGCATAGCATAGCATAGAATAGAATAGAATAGAATAGAATAGAATAGAATAGAATAGAATAGAATAACAGAGTTGGAAGGGACCTTGGAGGTCTTCTAGTCCAACCCCCTGCTCAGGCAGGAAACCCTACACCACTTCAGACAAATGGTTATCCAACCTCTTCTTAAAATTTTCCAGTGTTGGAGCTTTCACAACTTCTGCAGGCAATTAATAAGTTCCACTTATTAATTGTTCTAACTAATAATTATTATTAATAATAACAACTAATAACTAACTAATAATAATTGTTCTAACGAATAAATGTGGTCCTTGAAGGCAGATTTCCAGGGTTTTTTGTGCAGTTTTTCAACCGCACCTGGGATTGAACCAATTCTTAAACGGCTTTGGTTGCATTGTGAGTGTTGTCAAACTTGGAGTGAGTCCTTTTCAAAACCCCTCGACCCTGGAGTGTTGAATGTTCTCTTTAGCTAGACAGTCCTTAAATTAGAAATGTTTCCAAAAGTTATCTTGGTTTGAAAGGTACTCACAATTTCATTTGTTTGGGGGTTGGGTTTGGGGGGGTTTTTTTTGGCTCTTTGGGCTTGGTAAATATCAAACGTGGAATATTCCCTGAGTGTTTTAGAATTCAGCTCTTGGAAACAGATGCGTTTAGAACGAAACATTTGTCAGAAATCTTTAATTAAAGCTCAGGTTTTTCTCTGTTTAGAATGACCTTTTATTGCGGTTTATTCGTTGTTAATTTTAAGAGGTGGCATACATGGCATGAGCTGGCTGTTTTTCTGAGTTTTTAAAAGCAGTATTTATTCCCACCCATCCTTTGAATTGGGTAAATAAAATTGAATGTCTAAAGATAGAAATAAAGCATTTCTGGATTGTTTTGATGGGAGGAATATTCTCTGTTAACATTCCAACTCTCTGTAAC